GAGATCGGGCTTTCTGCGAGCCGACAAACAAGCGAGCCCGGCTCGAGTATCGACAGTGTACGTGGAACGCGCGCTTGTTCGGCGTCCCCTTCCGGCGCGCTTCCCGATCGCGCCAAATTCTTACCTTGAGAAGACTCGAGGGAGAGGCCCTTTCTCGTCCGCGAGACCCCCCCCCGCGGTCCACGCTTCGCGCGGCGGAACAGCGACCGGGTCGCGAGAGACTCCCAGAATTCCCAGGGTTCAAACGGACACGACTACGCGAGTCGCGCTTCCGTTGGTGCGCGCGACGCGCGCGTCCTAGCCTCGAACCCGCGGCGGAAGTGAAGCCCACGATCGGACGCCGAGGGGTAACCCACTTTGGCCGAGGAACGTCGTCGGGTCGCCGCGGCGACGCCGGGAGGTGTCCGCGAGGATTCCCTCCATTTTACCGAGTCGAATCGACGACCCACGCGGTAGAGTCGAGCGATCCTAGGAGCCGAGGGGGGGAGGAGGTCTCTTTGGACGGGACGTCCCCTCCTCTCTCCCTCCCTCTCTCTCTCTCTCTCTCAAATGACTAGATTGCGGAACCTTTATCCGAGCGCGTGTCTCGCACCACGTCGCATTTCCGTTTCTGGCGAGAAAGCCGGTGATCCAAGGACGCCGATGTTCCCTCGCGCTCCCGGCTCCGTGACGTGGGCGGCGGAAAGGTGGGGAGTGGGGGCAGGAGGAAAGATGGCGCCGCCGGCGTCTGGCATCGAGGCTGGGCCGCCGTGCGCGCCGTCGTGCGAGCCCCGTTTTGTTTCCGTTGTTGCTACGAGGCCGCCTCGTCGAGCGAAGCGCCGTCCACTGCCGTGCAGTACCTTCCCTAGTCTCGTTGGTCCTGCGTCGCGTGAGGGAAGACCGCAACGGATTCGTTTACTACAGGTTACCGTTCTGAACGTTCAGGTGAGTACGGACGGCCAGAGACGCCTCCCAGTTTCGTTCGGTGATCGCGAGTACCCGCGGCTCCGCGAGAGAAGAGGGAAGCGCGAGGTGGATCGTCGTCGTCGTCGTCGCCGTCGTCGCGGCCCCGCGCGTAACGTGATACAACGCGGCTCGCGGCGGTACACACGCTCTCTCTCCCGCACGGCGTAATTACGTGGCCGCGATTCGCCTCGGCGCTCCGGCGACGACGCGTCGCGCGAGGAGGAGGAGGAGGAGGAGAGAGGATCCGCCGCGACCCGCGTCCTTGTTTACGCTCGTCGGGCGCGTCGAAAGCGCGAATCATCGCACCGCGGCCATTATTCCGACTCGGGGCTATCGCTCGCGGCTCGAGGCGCAATTAACCGACGGGGCGCCTCCCGTATCGATCGCACGCGCGCGACGCGACCAAGCCGATTCGGCGGCGGCGTGCACGGCGTCCGAGATCGGGGCCGCGCGGGGGTCTCTGGAAAATTTCGACGCGGCGCTCCTGCTCGGGCTTTCCCTCTTCTTCCCCCCGTCGGCGCGTACTTTGAGAGAATTTCGTGCGATCGCGACTTCCGGCAAGCCTCCATATTTTCATTTCGCGTAGCATGCGAGCACGTTGAGAGAAACTCGGAGAACGATTAACAGTGCTTTGTACATTAACGCGTCGATAAGGCAGTAGCGATTCGTGTAGGTGTACATGTAATCGAATAACGGAGATTGTTAATCCGATTAATTAAGACTTTTTTTTGTTTGAGTTACTGTTACTTGTTCCTTGAAAGAGTAATTATAGAAACACCATTCTGTTTGTTTACGAACGATTGAAGCTTACTATTAAACCGCCTCTCGGTTCGAGTTTTGGAAAATAAGGATCTTATCTTATGTTGTCATGTGATTAGACGGCAGGTGCTGCAGGTAGCCTGTTATGTAAGGTGTTTTTATATTTTCCTTTAAGAATGAGCACTCGAGTATTCGTTGGTGGATTAACGTACCGGGTGAGAGAGCGCGACCTTGAGAAGTTCTTCCGGAAATATGGTAGAATCAAGGAGGTCGCTATGAAGAATGGATTTGCCTTTGTGGTAAGTCTAATGTGGTTCAATTGTTTTTTTTACAGTATGGTAGGGACAAGAGTCTATGTCGGTGGGCTTCCATACGGCACCAGGGAAAGAGACCTTGAGAGATTTTTCAGAGGCTACGGTCGATTCCGTGATGTTCTCATCAAGAATGGTTACGGCTTTGTTGTAAGTATCCGTATCCAGCTGTAAATACCACGAGTAACACCTTGCGTCGCTCAATTTGGTCCCGAAGCCGCGCCTCTCTTCCTCTAGTAACGTCGCCGGTCTTGTCTACAACGTATCTGCAAATTCTTCTCTCTACATGTGACAGATATCGCTATACTATAGAGATTACCGCTGCTTCCGGGTGTACTTTCCATTATTTTTATATGACGAAAACCGCTCGCGTTTAACGATCGCCGCGGCAATGCTTTCGAGCAAAGAGAATCAAGTTTGCTCTCGGGAAGTTAGTTACCGACAATGTGGACCAAAGTGGGTAAAGCTGCAGCGTGTTAGTTAGAAATACAACTCGATAACCTGAGTTGACCTGACCCGAGCCCCGAGCATACTGGTACTGTGGCAGTTTAATGGAGCTGTGTGCTGCTTATCATCGATTATTCTGCAAAAGCTTTGTAAGTTACGTATAACCGGGGGAGCTAAACCGCTTATAATGGGCTATGTATTACCAGATTATTTGAAATTTTGTTTAAGCACTTGCGATAATCAAGACTATGCACTCTTAGTTATATACTTGTAGTATTACTTGATAATGCGATTTATTTGTTAAGCCGAATAATAATATATCTTATCCTAAAACTTTTGCAGGAAACAATAACAAATATGTATATGTATATGTATAATTTCAAATAATTACAACAAACAGATTAAAGTCCCTTGTTGCCATCAACGTTGTGTACATTTAAATATTTTTATAACACGTATATTACTCTTGTGTATCATGTACGTTTACATTTCATGAATAGCGATATCTTGTAACTTGACGTTTCTGTAAAAGCTTTTAATTAATGTATATTATTATAGGAAAGACCCCTATCGTGAGACAGCGGAGTTTCTGCTAAATTAATAGGCGTCACCTGTTGGTTCCACCGCGAATTTATTGCCCTTGGAGTGAAATCTGTTTGGTGGAAAATTCATTCAAAAAGAAAAAAAGATTAGAGAACCCACTGTCTCACAATAGAGGACTTTCCTCTACATGTAAATGCATTAGAGCGATATTATCGCATGCAAGCAGTTTTGAAATAACACATTGTGAAGCTACGTTATTACTTCTGGGTAGTAATGAAAAAAAAATGTTATGTTGTAGGAATTCGACGACTATAGGGATGCTGACGACGCTGTCTACGAACTAAACGGAAAGGAACTTTTAGGAGAAAGGTAATGCAATCGCACTTTTTACTTAGTGTATGAAACAAATATATGTACTAGGCGATTATATTAGGCGGAATGGTATAGGTAGCATGTTTGCATGTCTGAATAGTTTCTATAACAGTCCATTTAATATGTGGATTGTTATTGTGATTAAGTTAATGTTTGAACTTTATCATAATATTATTGGTACCGGGGATTCTCTGTTTAAATTAAGCAAGTTCTAATTTATTATGCTAACACACGCTGAGGGTGAGTTAGATTTGGTATTGTCGAGAGATTAACTAATGCCATGTAACAAATGTAATTCCTTCCTACGAGTCTCTTACAATGTCGTACATGAAATATCTTTTCTGCATACACTATATTATGTTATTTCATACAGAGATACAATAGCTCAGCTTAGCATAACACATGGCAATACAACTAATTTGTAATATTTTCAGAGCTTTGTGCTGATGCGATATTAAAGTATCTTTTAACTTGCGTAATAAAAATTTGTTTATCGACAAGATCAAAAATCGCTCGACCCTAAATGGCTTGACTGAGAAAATTGTTAATTAACGTCCAAAATTATTTAGAATCCCTAAAAGTGTTAAATCAGAGAATCACAATTCAGAAAACAATGAGTATTTGTTACCTGCGAGTTATTTTCAACTCGAATATTCCCTTCTAGATCGACGAGTAAAATGTCTCGTTATCTCAAGCAAACAGTTTGTTATCAATTTATCTTGTTACATCACTTAAGATTGATACGAGAGAAGCAATAGCATTCAAAGAACGAGAAAATTGAAAACTTCCAACGCGACGTTGAAAGAAATTTTCTGCTTCACATGCTTTACTCTTACTTTCTGTTTTTCTTTTGGGAATTTATGTAAGTGTGTCAATAATATCTGAGTAGCTTCCACATGGAAGAAATAATGGTAGATTTCACCATAAAAATAAAAGTTGTAAAAACTGACAAAATGCGGTGGCAGTATTCTTAACGCTCTAATCGCTCTAATTGTATATTTCAACCTGTACCAGTAATATTATTCGCTGTTGCTTCTATTTGATTAAAGACAAATGTACAGTGCACAATTATCTGTTGGCATTCAACGAGCGATCCGTTAATGCCTTTGATCTTGCATCTATAGTAAACGGCGTCTGTCCTCCAAATTAACGATTGGACATTTACCGAGATAAAATGCGTCTTAAATGACTTACCGCCATTTTGAACTACTTCCATCAATTCCCCGAGTAGAAACAGTTATTGTCATAATATACCTTCGTCTGGAGAAATGTTTTATTGCTTCTTTTTTGCCGAAAAATTTGGCACATGTGCTTTTTCATAAATTCATCGTGTGATCCTATGTAACGCATCACGAGCGCAAAGAAAAAGGAGAAACTTTAGATATATTATAAGGATCACAGATATAATTATGAAAAAGCTGATGGATGTGGTGAAAAAAGAATTAATTCGGTGATAAGTAGCATCGTATAAGGAAGGCAGTTTAGGCTATATGAACGGGTTGTGAAAGAGAGAGAGAAAGAGAGATTGTATGTACGTGAAAGCGAGATAGATAGTGAGAGAGATAGGGGGGAAGAGAGAGAGAGAGGGGACAGCGCCTCGGACGAAACCGGACGATAGAGATTCTGAGAGAGAGAGAAGGACGGATGATATTTGAACGGATTTCGCGGAGAAAGGAGACTGAGGAATGGAAGGAAGGAAGGAAGGAAGGAAGGAAGCAGCTTTAGAGAGTAAGAATTAGTCGTGGACTTAGGCGGGGTTTTGTTGGGTGTGTTTCAGAGTGGCGGTGGAGATAGCACGGGGTGTTTCAGGGAGGCGAGGCGACCGTGGCTACGGACGCTCACGCTCCTGGAGAGACAAGTAAGCATATCCAATGTGTCTTGTTACAGAATTACTGTAGAGAGGGCCCGGGGGACACCTAGGGGTAGTGACCAGTGGCGCTATGGTGACTCCCGTGGTGGTTATGGGGACTCGAGGCGATCTGCGTAAGACACGCTATCCTTTTTTTTATTTTATCAGAGCGATCATTATCCCCTCCTCCCCTGCAGGCTGCCGGCTCGGGATGTGCGAAATCCAAGCGATTCGTTTCAGTCTTACACCTTTCCATTTGTTTCCGAACGTATATCTCTTTTTCTTACGTACGATTCTTTTTTCCTTTTCATTTATTCTCCGTTACGTTTCTTTGTACTGTTACTTCGAGGGGGGGTTTCTTTTTTGTACGCCGCGTACGATCGATTTCGCACATCGTCCGCACAGGGAAGAACGCAATCTTGGATATTGATAAGCTCTAGCGTAGAGAGGGCGTAGAGACGAGTGATAAACGATCGCGTTTGCAAACTTCTCTTGCCTTTGCGCATACGAAAAGTAATAGTTTAATTAGAGTTCGAAGTAGCTTGTCTTCTAAATTGGTTGTCTTGGATTTGACTGCTCTCCCGAGCACGTCGAATTGTCGAAAGTTTGACCACGATAAAAAAATGATAGCAAGATAACGCCTAGCGATACCCTCCCAGACATTATGTTTATTGCTGGTAGTTGAACGAGATTTACCAATCTAATTGGTGACTAATAGATGTGTGGTGTTGTGTTTGTTACAGCCGAGACGATATGCGGCACGACAGGTACGCTATTGCTGCATTTTGAATAGATTTGATTCGATTGGAACAGGTGATTGATTGTGTGCCTGAGCAATGAGTGCAGATCTGTAGTTATTTGCTGAAGGTTTAACCGACGATCCGTTATTTCTGTTCACATGACATCCCTTTTTGCAGAGATAGTGTGAACAGAAACACGAGGACTGCATCTAGCTACAAGCAATCATTGCCCAGGTACATACATCCAATGTTACGCTAACGATTACATATTAACTTAATACACAAACTTTACTGTTGCAACTGTCTTGTGATTATATTCTTATATTCTTATAAATTTATATAAATATATATATCTTATTATTGCGTTTTATATCATATTTTCATTCGTTAAATTAACGTAAAGTCAGGTCCAAGACAAACCGCTTGCTCTAGAAACATACATGTAGATAATATCCGGTCTTTTTCCCATTGTAGATACGGACCGCCTACTCGTACCGAGTACCGCCTCACCGTGGAGAACTTGTCAAGCCGTGTCAGTTGGCAGGTAAGTGACACACGTGTCTCGCTTTCAGTTTTCTTGCATTTTTACCGATACTTACCTTCGTTGGTTTCTTACTATTACTATTCGCGATTACAGAGAAAACGTTGCACTGCTTTATATGGGTTTTTACCGAAATTTTATCTATCACTCTGAATCTCTCTAAGTTTTGCCGAGTTTTTCCGCAGTCCGTTTCTACCAAATTCCACGCGTGTCGATACATAGCATTTCTTTCTTTTATTCTTCTATTCTCTTTATAGTCTTTCGTCTCATTTTACGTTCATTTACTCAGAAAAGAGAGCCCTATTTTGGAATGTAGAAAGATGTAAGATTTTGATCAAGTAAGTCTATGGCAAAAGTTGAAATCAGATTTTCATGTACATGTGCAAAGACATTTTCCACGAGAAAGGAAAAGATGAAAGAAATGGGAGAGACAGAACGAAAATCAGCATGGACGACTCAGAATGAAAGATTCAGAATTGAGAGACGTGTGAAAGATGCATGGCACATCACTGCTGATACCTGATACCTGAAGGACACAGGCATGCACGAAGGAACTCGGAGTAACAACGTGACCCGTGATGAACGCAGCCAAATACTACTGGACAAAGATATTCAGCGGACGCCGTGGACGCGAAGAGCTGTAAAGCGGAAGAAACGAAGGAACGCAGATACAGATGGAGCGAGACAGAGCGATGCAGATGAATGCAAACGATATGTGGGAAATACCAGGACGCAAATAGATGTTTTTAAAACCAAACAAAAGCTATGGGGACAAAAAGTCAAGATGAAGACTGCACGTGAACCAAGTCTTACTTGATCAATTTACATTGTGTATATTCATATATTACATATATAGTCTATAAAAGTATATATTTTTTCTATATCTATCGTTGCACTTTTCGATGATTGGTTCTTGACGAAAAGTTATTCTCTCGATCGAGTCTCGATTGTTCGACGTTACTTTTTCAATTTATTATTTCATTTACGTTCGGCCAACAGTTTTGAGAAAAAAACGAAATAAACTTGATGTTCTTTCCGAAGAGTCATATCCTCTTCGCCGAGGAGGGGCGACCGGTAGGGCCAATAGACTGATGATGTGCGATGATAAAGATGACGATGCACGCGATGGGCCCGCCTTGAGGTCAAGTGGCACCAGGTTGGTTTCGAGGTGTCCCGGGTGACAGAGAGAGCCGCGTGGCACTGGGATGTACACCTACCACCACCTATCTACCATCATACTACTACTCGCGCGCAGTAATACGTGGTGAATCCCGGTGAAATCCCAGTGATAGGGTTATCGTGCGTACTTCGATCCTCTTCATCATGATCACTGGGGGAAAGAAAGAGAGAGCGAGAGAGAGAGAGAGAAAGAGAGAGACCCAATCGCCGCTACCTACTTTATCCGTCTGGAAAACAAACATTTGTTTACGTAAACAACCTCCACCACCAATATCACTCTTCCTATTACTATAAACCGACATGGTCATAATTCAGTACCTTCACCATCGACCATCATTACAACCACCACCACCACCACCACCACCATCACATCTACCACTCCACTGTGACTGTCATTGCTACTGGTACGCCACGCAACCTAGCCATCTAGTAAGTCAGGCAACGGCCACACCCATGAGGGCATACGCGGGCCGAAACCCGAACCATCCGCGACTACGCCACACAGATCCGTTCGACCCGACCGAGCGCCGTGTGTCTGGCCTTTCTCTCTGTCCGTAAGCAAGGTGGTGCCTGGGCCCAAGGTAAATGCGTCACCTTAACCGAGTGTACTCTTAGATATACACATATCTATTATAACTACACACTCTTGAACGTGGTCTTGTTCACTTATGTATACTATATATTTATATACTATAATTATTATATACCTATTTATATTACACCTCATATTATTTAATATTACTGTGCACCATAGCTCAGCGTACATCGAACCGTTGAGACGTTTTAAGAAGCTCGGAGCTGTGCACGCGCAACTAAATGCGAGACCGGAGATAGGAAACCACTAGTGATATATATTCACGTGCTCGAAATTAGAAATCTACTTGTTAGTCGAGTCAATCTTGTGTCTGCACATTTAGACACGTCTTTCAAAATTTTCTTCATTTCTCACGATTGATACCTCTCTACCACTGCGTGTACGTTTTGTCACAATTCTCCGTTTGAATAGACCAACTTTTCTTTTTGCAAGACAATTTCCATCATTACACTATACATTTTGAATGTAGCAAGCGAGGAGTGAATATTTCAGAGGAAATTCGTCCAGCGTCAGAAATATATCTTCGGCAATGGCATGCGTGAGCGTTTTGTTTGTCCTTTTTTTTTCTTTTATTACATGGAAATCCCTTGCGCTTGGACCTTGAGAGGCACCGGCACAAAATCTCTGATAGGTCGCCGCCGTGTGGTATCCCGCAGATACGGAGGCGTCTGCGCTCTCTCGTACTCGCCGTGTAAAACGACGGGCATATAGGCACATCTATCTACCTCCGCAACAGTAAGCCGTACCTGGTTCCCACACACACACAAAGAGAGAGAGAAAGATATACGTATAAGTACATCTCCCAGCGATGAATGAACGCAAACGGACCACTAGACAATATCCACCTTCACTCGCAGATATCCCTTATGAGGAATGACTGTGAAGCGTTAGATTAGATCATGGAAGAGGAACAACAGAAAGCGAAAGGATAATACGGAAGAGACAACGTGTTCACAATGCAGAGAGGAATCTTGCAAGATTAAGGGAAGAAATCCACGAAAGCGTGACGCGGGAGAAGAATCGTCGACGAATCCACTTTTAATTTTCAGCGAAAAGTTGACACAATTTTCACATTTTTGTCTCGATTTCTCTTTGTCTTGCTTTTCCTGTTTTATTGCGATGTATAATTTATTCATACAGTCTTCGGAACTTTTGCAGAGTAATTATTATTATGTGTTTACACGTTGAAACTTTTCATTTTCGCTTTATAGCGATTCTTTTACTGTTACGCATATAATTCTCCCTATGAAATTATATATTACTCATAATGGTACATAAACTTTAAATATATTAATTTTATTTATATCATTTTTTATCTCACATGTTATAGATATTATGCTAAAAAAAATATCGCATTGATTACTTTTGTAATTATATTGTGAGCCGTTCTGCAGAAGTGAGAGTGTACTTTTCGTCTAAAACTATTAATTGATTTCTGTAAATGTTGACATATTACTGCAAAATCTCGTTCTGCAGGGCGGAGCTGATTGTGTTGTGTATACATATATAAAATTATAATCACGTTTATTTTGAATATTGAATTGCATAATAAGAAAAGTTGCGTCGATATAAGCAGATACTAAATTCGAGCATGCAATTCGTAACATTCTCGACACTGAAGACGCGAGCAGATGTAGACATACTATGCTTACCTCTTTCTTTAGTCGAGTAGACCCAGGTAACCTGCCGCAGGAAAAGAAATCGAAATAGAATATAAACGTATGAGTGCACAGGATATATTTTAACCTGCGCGTTACATCAGACTAGGAACACAGTATAGTAAACTCCAACTAATAATTCTAAATTTACTCGGATACCTGTGCAAATAGACAGAGAAACATATTAATTCTGGCCCTTGTGTGATGTTCAGGATTTGAAGGATTACATGAGACAAGCTGGAGAAGTGACGTATGCTGACGCTCATAAGCAACGTAGAAACGAGGGGTAAGTGGCTTGTATTACGAGAGTGACGAGTAAAATTAAGTTGCTCGGTATTGATCGCGAGAAGAGGCGGTTAGAGCGAAAGATTACTGCGGGAGCATTTATAATTTAACAAGATCAGCGCGTCAATCTAACGATCGAAATTTATGTTTTTGCAGAGTTGTCGAATTCGCGACGTACTCTGACTTGAAGAACGCTATCGATAAATTAGATGACACAGAATTGAACGGCCGCAGGATCAGACTCATCGAGGATAAAAGACGCGGCCGTCGATCGCGATCCTCGAGCTCGAGATCGCGCTCTCGATCTCGATCACGATCACGTCGTCGGTCGCGCTCCCGCTCAAGGTATAATCGTTCTCGATCCCGATCAAGGTACTTTCGTGGCGACATTACGTCACCTGTTTTCTCTTACGATTTAGTTTTGTGTACAATCGCTTGTAGTTTGTTCGACAGTCTTACAAAGCGATTTCTTATTATTTTTATTCATTTTGTTTGTCTCTTAATTTTCGCGTTTATGTTACTACTTAATTTTCTGTAAACTGATTATAAATTCCTTTCTAAATTATTTTATTTGATGGTGAGATCAAGGTTTTGTTCTGTGCCTATCATTGCAAAATTCATCGCGTAAGAAGGTGGTTTTGCGATGACACTTGAAAACATTATGTCTCATCGAGGTTTTCTGTGGTGCAGGAGCCGCCGCAGTTCTCGCAGCCACAGCCGTCGTAGCACCCGGTCCAAGTCAAGGGCACACTCCAAGTCCAAGTCCAAGTCAAAATCCAAATCTCCTGAGCGTAGTCGTTCACGCTCAAAATCCAAGTAAGTATCTTAAAATTATTTTATATGAACACGTTTGTTCCATTAGCTGTACACTGTATTCAGAATTGTACATGTATATTTAGTTTACTTATTTTTTTTCTTGCGCAGTTAGCGTCACTGTCGGTGTACACTCATTCCCATTTATTATTGGCATTGTTTTTGGGCTGGCCTCGTGCCTTGAGCTCTCACGCTTAATCACGCTTTATACGCGTTCACCTACTCACCGTGCGCTTGGAAAGCGACAAAAGAAAAAAAAAAGAGTTTCTTTGTATTTTGTCAACTTTCTCTACTTTCGTGCCCCTTTCATTTTGAACTATAATTTTACAGATCAAGAGACCGCTCAAAGTCGAAATCTAAGTCAAAGTCCAAATCCAGATCTCGTTCTAGGTCCAAGGCTGAGAGGTCAAAGTCCAGGTCGCAGTCCAAATCCAAAGCCAAGTCTCCCTCAAAGTGAGTCCTCTCGCTGGCCTTTTCTTTATTCGATACGTAATTGGCGCAAGAAAATAAAATTTTCTCAGAGTGCTGGCACAAGTGATAAACGTCCTGAACATTCCTCCTTTCAGGGATAGGTCAAGCCGCGAGCGTTCCAGAGGCGACAGATCCCGATCCCGATCGGGAAGCAAACACAGCAAGAGCCGCAGCCGCTCTCGTTCGCCCATGAATGGAGATAAATCGCCGGAAAGCAACAAACAAAAAGCCGACTAAGCAAAAGAAAATCAGCGAAATACTATCTTTCCTTTTTTTCTTTCACCATTTTTTATATCGAGTCACATTTAAAAATCAATATCTCATATATCTAATATCTTTTCCGATCATTGATCGTAATAATGAAGTTTTAAAACTTGTACCATCGTATCGAAAATCCATTACCTCGATATTTAACTTTGATTATTCACAATCAGGGTTTATTTCAAAAGCTTCAACATTGTTGACTTAGAGTTTATGATTTAACTTCTTAAATCATTACCCTCGTCCTTTGCTTCAATTTTTTTTTTATTACTTTTTCTTAGGTATGTCTAGGTTTAGCGATACACATCATCCGACTTGAACGATTCGCGCATTTAGGGTGCGTTCGGGGAGCTCTCTGTATTATTTGGCGCTGAAAGCATCGTTATTTTTGTTGCTCATTATGCTTCAAAGAAAGATTACATTTTCAGCGTCGATAGCGAGCTCCGCGAGTGTACCCTTAGATATTCTTTTATTATTCATCTCAGAATACAAATTTTCAATGTATCGCCGTACATAATACGAGTTCCCTTATAATGGCTTTTTGTATATATTCCTAATGGTTATATTACAATAAGAAAGTATGTGATGTGTATTAAATTTAGTGGTAAGAGGTATTTGAACTGTCAATAAAAGTTAATGTCAATGCAGGTTGATATCTCGTATCCGAATCATTCCCAGTTATTTCTTTTTAATATACCTAAATATTTCAGCTACATAGTCTCGAGTTGAATGCTAATAGTACTCTTACTATTTCTAAGCTGTTTTTTAAACATGGAGAAGAGGGAAACAAATATAGTGTATCAAATCTTGCTGAATTTGAAAAACATCGAGCAAGTCCGTTCGGTTATTTCGAGTTCTCGGTTAAACGGAACCTGACGTAGCCAGGCGAACATGTGACGCGCAGATGGGCCCGCCTGGGACTCTGATGACTCACTGATGTGTGTCAACCCCCGGTATTCTTGTCTCTTCCACCCTCTCCCTAACGTGTCGGGAATAGATTGGCGTCGTCAACCAGGTTGTTCAGCTGGAAAATAAGAGAGCGAATGAGAGAAACCAAGGGGGAAAACGCAAAATGAACGACACAGCTACGTAAAATAATCGCCGAAAAAAAACCAAGCCGCGCAGTCGTTCAATGTCAGATTCGCGGCGCCGGCAATGCGTCGAACGTGAATTCCCGGCCATCAAGGGTGAGTCAGTTATCCCTCCGCATGACGGTCAAGGAGACGATCGAAAGAAACGCGTAGAAAAGGGGGCACGCGATTAATTGCGCGCGATTGGGGAGGTAGGAGCCAAGCGTCGATTGGCTCAGTTTCGAGAGCGGTGGGATCCCAATCCAGGAACGAAATGTGCACTTGTAAGACCCAGATTCTGCTGGTTCGTGATGCGAAAGAAACCGGATTTATAACTGATTTGTAACAGAAATATATTTCTGTAGTAGGTACACTAGGAATCACTGATGCCTGCCCACATCAATTTGTGCACACATCACATTTATAACACATTAGTAAATTTTGCACAGGGTTGGGAAGTAACTTGTTACTTGTAACGAAGTTACAGTTACTTGTTTTTGGCAACTCTAACTTAACTTCGTTACTTTCTCTCCATTTGTAACTGTAACTTAACTCAGTTACTTTTTTTTTCGACAACTAGCAACTAATTCAATAGTTACATTAATAGTTCCTTTATATATTTTTTAAACCTCCACAGATCGCATCAGGCATTGCATTTGCACATAAACGCTTTTATCGATATTTTATCATTCAAACGCAGATTTGATATTTTTATTTTCATTGCGAGAAAGTAACTGCAAAGTAACGATTCGTTGCTTTTTGAGTAACTGTAACGCATTATTTTTCAGAATTGGTAACTTGTAACTGTAATTAGTTGTAAAACTAAAACTGTAACTAGATACTTTTATAAAGTAACTTTCCCAACCCTGATTTTGCACATACATACATGGAAAATGTACGTGTCCTACCTGTGCCTAAATTCATATGGGAAGGCATCAGTGATTCTTAGTGTTATTATTTCAATTAATTAATGACGATAAACTGTTCCAGACTGTCAGGCTTTGCGGATAAGTCCATCAAACCCCTTTCTGCGCCGATCCTGGCGAGAGGGGCCTGTCGCCCCGAGAGGGGAGATGACGGGTAGAGGGGGATGAACGATGGGCGCTGCTCGACGCTGTTACCTGGTGTTACGTGCCTCAGAAGCACTAACCGGTCAGTCAGTGTACCGTCTCGTTCCTGCCTTTGAACAACGCTCGCCTGCTGTTCAACAGTGTCCGCGCCTGCCTGCGCCCTAGAAATTTGCACACACGTCAACTGACAGGTCAGTGCACCCTTCGCCACGGTTTCCCCACAGCGAAGTGTGTCCAATGGCGGATTTAAAGGCGAGCCCTCGAAACGAGTCTGCCCAAACTGTAGATACCTCCAAACATCATCCGGAGACACATTGAACATCTCCTGGATTCCCGTGTATCTTTCAACAAGTTACTCGCCCAGCCTTCCAAAGAGATTCACGGAAAGCGACGGCGAACGTCTTCTTTCTCCTCCTTGCATCGCCTTCTCTCCTTTCGCGTATTAATTTGCGGAAGTGAGAGAGGATTGACTCCAGACTGGCATGAGAATCTACAGCCGAGCGTGGGCAGTCCAGTGTTCGATGGTGCTTTCTTTCGTGTGAGACGGCGAAACGTTCGGCAATCAGTTCTTCACTTGCGAAATATCTCCGCCGAGTCTCGGAATTGGCAAAAGTGGTCTTCCCTCCAAAGACGATAGTGGTCTGGAAGCAAAATTTCGTGAGTCAATGGAGTGACGACCGCCTTGCTACTTGGCGTTATCACAATTTCCCGGCGTTACGATTCCCGTGCGATAGCTTTGACACGCGTATCAACTTATCTGAGTAACAGTGTCGTCCTTCGTAACAGCGCCTGTAGATTCGGTTACAATTATCGCCGGGCTCACGCTTCGGTACAAACACGCGGTATCGAGCAGTTTATGTTTGTTCGCGACAATTGAGACGCGATGTTTCGGCGTGAGTTCCATCTCGCCCGTGGCGTGACAACTTCATTTTGACTGTCGATCTATAGGTACAGATAAATACGTGACGTCCGTACATTCGGCGGCGGCGATAAGAATGTTATAGGACGGGCTTTCCACGACTGTAAGGCCCGGTCTACAATGAGTTGTTAGTCGTTAGTCAGAAGTCGGAACTATATGTCGGTCCTTTTTCTTCCACCCAGAAAGGAAAAGGATCAACATATAGTTGCGACTTCTGACTAACGACTCATTGTAGACCGGGCCTAACGTATACTAAATTGCACACCTCGAGATTACGTGTCTCCACCGGCCGGGCACCGAGATATCGATCGGCCTTTCGACGCGATCGAAAATGGACCCGGGGTGTGGTCGAAAGGCGTCTGTCTTGAAGAAAACGTCTTTTCCTTTACGACATCGTCTTTGTAACTGAACGGCGGCATCCGCGAATCGATGACGTTCTTCCCGGAATACAACGGAGAATCTGACGAAGCGGGAAACGAGTGATTTACCGTTTTAATAACGATTCTTTCATCGTAACTGCTATATATCGTTACGATATCCATTAGTTGTTCGAAATAACAATGTAAAATGTCTGCTACTAAAACGTGGGTGAAACAGATCTTTTGTTAGACCGCCCGCCAACAGATTTTTTTTTATACGCCTGTTACTAGGTGATGGCACACACGTACCCTATTATATCCGACTGGCAATTACGTATACGAGGATAAGATTAACGAACGCGAATTAATGAGTAGACCGTATCGTGCGAATTCACGGCGTTTTCGGCCGGAGTAATTTGAAACGCTTCGAGAGAGCGATCGGAATAAATTTCAAGGATACTGTTTAGAATTGCCTCTCCAAATGTGTGTTCACGCAAACGTAGCGAATGTCAAACGCAAAATCAGACGCCTTATTAAAATTGATTCACCGGTCGCTCTCCGTTTCGTTCGCCTCGTACAAAATCATTCACGTCCCATTACTTTTCTGTATCTTTACCGTTAGTTTCGGCTGAGCGCAATCTTTGCATTTCGCCGTGCATTACCGTTTGTTCCGAGAGATTCTTTTTCTAAAACAATAACTTGTAATATGTCTAATTAGACGCGAACTGCCAGTGGTAATTAAACTGGATCGCTCTTTCGAAGCGAGGCGTATCGTTTCCATCGTGGAAAGCCTGTTGGAGAACTTCCTTGCTCTTCCTCGTATACGGGCGGACAGCGCGAGGCAACACAGGATGAGGATAAGGGCGTGGTTTTGACAGATGCATGCAACGCACGCGGAGCACGCATATGCGTCTTCTTCTCGTCGTCGTCGTCAGTTTGGTACTCATCTTCCATGCTCGTGCATCTGCGCTGACCATTTACGGTAGAACAATTTCTGGAAATAAAATGGATTGCCTCGTTTCAACTTTAGCGAATTTGATACGTCGCAACCTCCGATTGATCGTCGTACAATCGTGTGACATTTTTCTAAATTCAAGAAAAACTCACAGCTAGAAACGACTTGGACGGCGGCGATCTCACCGCGTTTCGCGTTTTCCTAAGGGAGAATCGTCGCCGGGCGTTGCATTTGCATTTTATCATGTCCCGAGCGTTTCAAGGCGAACGAGGGGGGCTTCTGTATAAGCGCAGCTCCGCCGTCGCGAATCGCGCGCTTCCACGCTTGCGTTTACTCGGCGCGGCTCGGCTCGGCTCGCTCGCGATTAGCGTCTCCCAGATCGCGAGACCGTTTCTATCTCACGAACAGCGGTGTTACTAGGCGAGAACGTACGCCCGAGATATTCTCTTACATCTCGCGCCACGTCAGCCGGACAATACCTTCGTTTTCCTGCGAGTTATGGGATTCGCATACGGATAGCGGCGGCCTTATTTCTCCTTCGGCTCGTTTTGCGTCCGTTTGTACCTAATTAAACGAATAGAAAGCGTATTATAGCGTCGCGACCGTGAATGGAAACATCATTCCGGCTCGGCTTTGAAATTCAAATTCGCGTTGAATGCGCATTCCCGAGCAGGACGCCAGAGCATTTCATTCGATTTGAACGCGCGACTCGGGAGGGGGACGATACATCAATGATACTATTAACGGCAATCATCCCCGACGGTGGAGGACGCGGCCCTCCGTCGAGGGAAACCGCCCTCTCTTACCCATGACCATGAAAACCGGGATGCGCCGTCGGCGCGGAGTTCACGGACCCCACTCACACTCTTCTCCTGGCGATGCCGGCAATGCCAATCGATGAAACCGTCTGCCGCGGCCGCGGCCGCCACCACCTCCTCCTCCTCCTCCGTCGCCGCCGCCGCCGCCGCCGCTACGCTACGGCCGCTCCCCTGACGCAACCTCGGATCTGCCTCCCCCGTCGTTGCGTCCGTGTGTATGTACGTGCAAGCGTTTGCGCCCTACCCATTCATGCGTCGCGAACACAAGTCCGCGGCGTGTGTGTCAATATTGGCACGTTGCTGCGCCGTAGGAAAGCGGAAGGACTCGCCTTCCGGCGATCATCGAATCGGATCTGATTAAACGGCGCTCCTGGGAACGCATCGGTTTACTGCGAGCGGCGCGTGTCGCGACCGCTTTCAGAAGCAGATGCAGGCACTCTGAAAGAGAAGGCGGCGAATAATGAGAGCTGCACAAATTTACGCATTTCGGCGCTGAAATAAGTGAGCCAACGAGAAATGACTCGTCGATCGGTGTCGACTCAACGTCGTTCCGACGAATTATCTCTCGCCGGGTGAACTTACGAAGTAGCCTCGGCCACGATTTCTCCACGAGCTGAAAAACCTGGGGGGGGGAACTGATTCGGTTACCTTCGCGGAGGACGGGTTTCCGAGTACACATTAGCAAACAAAACGAACTGATCCAGGAAGATTTTAATTGACTCCGCATAAACGCCGGTAATGAACGCGCCGAGTGAGCTGCCTGCCGCGCGAGTTAACGAGCCCTTTTTTTTTCTTTTAAATCGTGTTCTCGCGATACGCACGGCCGGGGCAGAACGCTAATTGTAGGACGACTTTGACATTCGGTGCGTGCCGTACGCTCGGACGCCTAGGATGCCCGCGACCATATTACGCGACGCGTACTCGCCCAATGCGCGCCGCGCGCCCATTGGCCGGGGGATTCGTAAGTGATATTTTTATTGGCCACCGGCGATCAACGAACCGTTGTCCCCTTCGCCGTCCACTTCTGCCAATATAGATCATCTTCAATCCCGGCTCAACTTGCCCCTTGTCGTTTTCTACGTCCGAGAATCAGGAGGAGATGAAAATTAAGCCGGAAGACGAGAATTGAACCCAAAAGTTGCTCTGCGTCTGTTGTAAAGCCTTGTGTCCACGATCCAAGAACTGTGTCCAAGTTCTAGTTCCGAGAAATGCGTAGCCAATCACCTTGCAGCTTTTATGGAATAGCTGCACGGTGATTGGCTACAGATTTCTCGAAACTAGAACTTGGACCAAGTTCTAGCATCGTGGACATTGGGCTTAAGGGCCTGGTGTCCACGATGCTGGAACTTTGCTCCAAGTTTGTGGCCAATCAACGTGCAGCTTTTATGGAATAGCTGCAAGTTGATTGGCC